AACTATCATATCTGATCACATAACCTCTGGACTGAAGCAGTATGCTAGCAAATATTTCTCATTATTTAAAGTCTTAAATAACTGTAATTTACTAGGCAGGTCTTCCTCAGAACATTCACAAAATAAATCAAGAATTAATAACCATATACAAAAAGCATTTAGATGATCTGTTACAAATCTCCGAAGAAAAAAAAACAAGAAACAAAATAACTCAACAACCATAAAAACGACAAACCCTCTCTCTGTGATAAAGCCCAGTATAAATACATTCTGGGACATACTAGTAGTAGAGGAGCTGCCTTTCAACATCACTCAGATTCTAGGGGAAACTCTGTAGCAGCCGAGGTTATATAGAGTAAGAATCACCTAATTTTCAGTATCTAGACATTAGATGCCTAAACTAAGCTAATCATCCGGATTCCCTCTGGAGGTAATGGAGATAAGCATTGCCAGAGGAAGATTCATCCTGCTTGTCTTAGGCATCTTTCTTTTAAATGGTTATAGATAGATAAATCCAAGCAATATCAACCTCCCTGGCAGCCTGATATTGTCTTCTTTAGCAATGCACAATACCCTAGTTCAATGGAATTAAGCCAGAACTGAGTTCAGTTCTTTGTTTCATCATTTAGCCTTTAATTCTCCCTCCCAACTTTTTTTTCTTTTTTTTTTTTTTTTTCTTCTCAGTTCTCATGAACACAAATGGCACTTTGTTTTTCTTATACTGGACTATGTGTCTGTGAAACCTGGGGAATTGAAATCAACATATATATATATTGCTGCTCTATCAGCTTAAATGCTTTAACATGCATGTGCTCTAAACTGCAATAATGTTCTGAACAGATAGATAGGATAGGAATATTGGTATTGATTGTGCTTTCTGGGTCTACTCTACCACTTTCAAATGCGTAAAAAACTGTGGCAACTTTAAGGCAGTCAAGGTATATAGATGAATGATAAAATATGTTTATTATTCAAAGTAGATGGCTTAAATCAAACAAGGAAAAATCAGGAAGAAATAACATTAGGGCCCTCACTTTTACGTGCATGAGTCCATGTCACCACACATGATTTGAGGCCTCTGTGCATCAGAACATTGAACAAGTTCTCAGGGTGAAGCCTGGCCTCAACTCTCTTTCATTTAGGGTTTGTGGGTTCTCAGCAATACCAGCATTGCTGCATCACACCTGGAAACACCAAGCCCTTAGGAACATTAGCCAAGATTTGTAAGGAAGCAGGTGTCAGAACTTAGACTCCTAAGTTTACAGTTAGGTGCCTAAAGCAGCAGCAAAACTGACAAGCACCCTGTGCAGTTGCTCACAGATGCCAGTAGTGAGGCACTTAGCATTAGTTATAACACAAAACAGATGTTTATTAATTATGAGTGTTCCAATGGCGAGTGGAAGTGCCCTGGCCAAGTGGTTGTGTGCACTACTTTCAATGTTGGGCATGCAGTCTACTCTGCATCCTAATTCTATACCATTTGTAGAAAATTAATTTTAATAGTTAAAAAAATCTTGAACTGCATACATGAAAATAACTCAATTCTACTGAATGACAATCTAATATGAAATAAGAATATTCACCTTTTTTTCTTACTCTGCCCAAATCCAGGCAATAAATTAGGCTTCTCAGCATGACTGTAAAGTGCTGTGAATTGTATAAACAATCATATATGGACACTGAAAAATAACCCTTATGCACATTGCATTATAGTTCCAAAAATATATTTACAGTCTATTACAAAGATTACAAATGGAAGAGTCTACGTAACGGGATTATTCTAATTAAAAGCTTTTTACAGATTTTCTTCAACAAAGGTGAGGGGACAAAATTGGTGTAACCAAAATGATTTTTCTAATGAAACAAATAAATAAAATGACAAATATAACTGTACAGTGATCTAAAAGGGGGTTCAAAAAAGGAGGAAAAAATGATGCATTTAAGTTTTTGATAACTATCTTTGGTCCTAAATGTGGGAAAACACATTATGTAGCACTGAATATACATGTTTGTTTGTGATGCTCTGCAATTAAAATAGAAAAATATAGTGCATTTTCAATGTATCCAGAGCTCACTACACATAAATGTGTATATAAAACAAGACAGTATAAATAAAATTTACAAGTTTTACAAAGGAAAATTTACAGGATTTTCTTTTCTTTTCTTTTTTTTTCTTTTCTTTCTTTTTTTTTTTTTTTTTTTTTTTTTTTTTTTTTGTGTGGATGCCCACATTATCAAACAAGACCAATTTATGACTGATCCCTGGGATCTTTCTCTATCAGAATCAATAGAAGCAGCCCGATTCTCTTTGGAAGTACAGCATTTCACTGTTGGGGTAGTTCACAATTTTCAGAATTTTGTAAAATGTTTATCTTTCATATACATTCTCACCATATCTGTGAAGACACAGTTTGTTATTGCTTATGGTTAATAAAACATATGTAAGTAAATGCTGTAAGAATATATTCCATTGAGCAAATACTCTTACATCTGTGCTCCTGATGATGACTGCTGTGTCTGTGTGAGTACAAACACAAATATCTGATCAGAGCTGTAAAAGCTTGTAAAAAAATCTGAAAATTTGGAACTGCCCCTTGCCTCATGCTCTATGTTTCTAATATAAAATCTATGTCCTTACTTTCATAGCTGGACTGCATTCAACTTAAATTCATATAAAATATATGCCAGCTATTTCTCTCAGATTTGCTAATGCAAAATATTGAAAAAAAATGTGATGTGCTCAGATTAAATGGTTTAGGTAACACTGGAGAACTGCACCTATGTTCTGAGACACTCCTACAATCACTTGTCCATTCAACGTAGTGCCTCAGCAGGTTTGCAGCTATAGATCTACATTTTAGAATATATCTCACTTCAGTCCATTAAAATCATCTTGCAAACAGTTTGCTAAAAGTGCCTAGAACTACATAGGGGTCATTATTGCTTTTCTTTCTTTTTCTTTTTCTTTTTCTTTTTTTTTTTCTTTTTTTTTTTTTTTGTCTTTTATTTTCTTTTAAAAGATAGTATATGTGTAACCTTAAAAAATTCTTTAAAAAATATCAGAGCTCTTGGCAACTTGCATTATCCTGACTCCCTGCCAATTAGCTAGTCATGTCAATACGGTGTTGATTTAAGAAAAGTAAATGGCACGAAAGGATACCGAAGCTGGGACAGATGTACATTGCTTGGTCATGCTTCTTAAATCTCTAGGAACTCAAATAATCCTTCAGAGGTACCCAGTGTAGTAATGTGTCATAGAATTAGCACTAAAAAGGTCCAAAGATATAAACATCATACTAAAAGAAAGTCTTTATGAAGAATAAACACAAATGATTAAAAAAAGATTCAGAAATCACAGATTTAAGGAAAATATTTTGTTGAATTCAACAATAATATCATGATTTTATCTGACAAATATATTCTTTTTAAAATTTTTATGTACATTTAAAAAGTCTTTTAGATAAAAAGGAGGTTAGAGAGCTCAAGGTGTTTGTATGTTTATTCAGGTAGTACTTTGTTTATTGTCACTGCTGTTTTCCTTGCCACCACTGGTGGATCCTAATTCCCTTTTCATAAATTCTGGTGGCACTTAGGAGTTCAAGTCTGTAGGTGCTTCTTGTAGCTCTTCTATTCACTGCAGGAAGGACCCAGGAAATCAAGTGTCTTCTAGTAGCACTTTATATATACTGAAGGCCAGTGCTGTTCTCTCAGTCTGTCACCTCCCTCATAAGGGAGAAATGTCTATCACACTTGGATGCCAGTGCCGTGTAAATGTAGCATTTGTGCTCTCATAGTCTGAATGCTGCTCATGATTTTCTTTTGATGACCAACCAACGTGATCCCTAAACTCATCACATCCCTGGAGAAGACAAATGCGTACATTGTTAATTTTTCAACTTAGACTGCTACTGTATGGTAATCAATTGTGAGTTAAAGCTATGTAGTGGCCTGGGCTACAGGTTTCTAACACTGAAGCTGTACCAGAACCTCAGCTCAGTACTGTAAAGTCCATATAGATCTTCAGTGAGGAGTGTAATTGCATGGCATGTGTCATGTAATTACACTGCCTTATGTGCCCACATCTGAAAATGAGGTTTTGCACTATGATAATCATTTACTGTGGCTTTTAAGGACACCCAAAGGAAGAGACACTTCTCTTGTACAATACTTTTGGAGGCTTTCAAGATAAAAGTTATGTATAAATATAAGATTTGGGAAGTTACATTCTGCTTCCTGAAGAGATGTCTAGTGAAAGCCTTTGCATATTGATCCATACCCATCATGCAAATGAAAAAGGCTGTTTCAATTCCATCACTAGTAGTGCTACTGATCCACTATCTTTTGGGTCAGGATATAGACTGAGGCCCCCAGTGTTACCAGGTAGATAAGAGTGGAGCTGGAAGCTTGAGAATATTGTTTCAAACTTGTCTGGAAAAGCATTGCTCTATAAAAGGCATAGCAAGTGATTGGCTACTACCAGAATAACAACTTTCTTTTCAGGGTGTCAAGAACTGTTTAAGACAGCAGTGCCAATACTGGCCATGCCTGTCTTCAGAAAACTATTTTGCTTCTACAGTCTTTTATACTAATGCAAAGTCAATTTCTGAAGGACACAGACAGCTCCCAGCCAATTAGAAGAAAGATCCACATCTTCCTAGTACACATCTGGAAAAATATACCAATTAGAGAGAGGAAAAAAAGTGGTTATTTTCCTATACATACATACTTCAAAATGGGCCAAATTCTTCCTCAAATTCTAGCCTCGTTATTATTTCAGTTAGTCTCAAAAAATGGAGAATAAAGTGATGCCCACACATAGGTAGAAGGGTAATTGCCCTTCTATGGGATGCTCTATTTCAATATCATGAGCTGCTAAACCTTCTGACTTAACCCCAAGTACTTTGTTTGTACTCAGGATAAAGTTTTTGAATTGAACATTGTGTGTTATTTTACCTAGAAGTTCCCTAAATGCAAGTTAAACATGCCCAGTACTAACTTACTCAATAGTCATCCTGGCAACTGATTCAAGAGAGTTGTAGCCTGCTGCTGTGAAATTATCCTTATATCTTTCCATCTTAATAGCTTGTAACCATTCGCCTACGGAGCAGAAAGTGGTAAAATCGGGAGTGTTCTGGTCCAGAAGAGGGCTAATTGGTCTATGGAGAAGGAAAAAGGAAAGTAAGTTGTTTCCAAAGAGAGTTAAACATCAGGGAGTATTTAGCAAGGTGAGAGTCAAATAAGTTTGGGGTATTCAAAACTTCAAGAGTAGGAAGTAATAGGTCTTTATAAACAGGCTAGATTATTCTGTGAATAGCTCTGACTACACTGTAGCTCACAATATGTATTTCCTAAACTTATTCATGTAAAAGATGAGAGGTCAGAATGAGCAACAACAGCCTAATGAACTATTTTTTATCAACAATATACCAACCTAGCATGATAGCAACTGTAACTGAAGTTGCTGAGTAAAATAAAGATACTATTTTTAAAGCATCTTAGAGAATGTATCAGTAACTATTCCCATTATTCAACTGGATGAGACAAAACAAAGACAGGGAAAGATCAGAGACACAAAGTAAGTTGCTTAAGGTCACAGAGCAAATCAGTCAGTAGAAGAACTGGGAACGGAACACAGGCAAGCTGATTCCCTAGTGCATTTGATCTAGCTTGTGAATCAAAAGATTACCATGATTAAATAAATCACCTGAATTTTATGAAGAAGTCATTAAAAGCTATATCATGAAGTACAATGAGATGCAATCACTGAAAGGCAATAAAGCCAGAATACTAAAGGTAAAATCCTCAAGTGTAGCAAGTCAAAGTACTTTGGCCAAACAAAAGTATAAATTTCTACTGTATGAGTTCCTGCTAGGCAAGGGATGCATAATATGAAACTGCAACAGATTTTAAGAAACAGGGAAAACAAAGACTGCTGGTAGTGGAAAGACTGGTGAGCAGGCAGCTTTTTACTGAGAAGTGTGTTAGTTCCACAGTATTTACTTTCTTTATTTTGGTTATTTTTTATGAAAAGTCCTTTTTGGTTTAGTTCAGTGTAGTACAAAAGGAAGGTGAATAAGGGATGGGAAGAACAGGGAACAGAAGAAAGGAAGAACTGAGAGACACATGGAGCAAGTATGAACTGGAACCAGCCACCAACCAGAACATCCAGAACCCCGCCATGCACATCATCATACGAGCACTCACTAAAGATTTTCTTACCTGCTACAAGTTCCCAGAGGGGTTTTCAAGCTGTTTGGATTCCTAATCATTTTGTCCAGAATACCAACTATCTGCTCAAACTTTGGCCTTTCACCACGTTCTTTCTGCCAGCAGTCTAGCATCAGCTGGTGTAGTCCTGCTGGGCAATCCATGGGTGCTGGCAAACGATAGCCTTCTTCGATTGCTTTTATAACCTAGTAGCCAAGATAATGGTCATTTTTCATTAAAGGATATTTAAGAAATAAATTTTTGCTACCTTGTACAAGAGATACACAATAGTAATTATGATAATAGCAATAATAATAATAATAATAATAAGTTTAATCAGTAAACTAAAATTTGCCACCAGCATTGCAAAAATATGAAACTTTTGTTTTGACACTAGCCTTTATTTTTTCAAATAGTTTCCTGATTTTATCTTTGGGCTTAATAAAAATATTGTTCTGTATGTGGGGAACATAGCTCTATTATCTAGCCAAGTGAGCAGCAGCGAGCAACAATTAAATTCACTAAGGGAGTAACAGATAGATTGATAAATGGAGTTATTTCAGAAAGTGTTATTACTTGCCCCAAGGCCTTTATGAGTATGTGGTAGAAGCAACCGACTTGTAAGTGGATAGGGATCTGTGCATATACATATAAAATATAAAAAGCCTGAAAATACTCTAAAAAGGATCCAAGAAAAATGCTTAGAAGATAGTAATTGTTAGGAAAAAAAGTTGTATTCTATGTCTAGCCATGTTAGCTTAATGATAAAGTAGTAAAAATGTGTCATGCGGGTAAAGACCTAGCTGAATGGTATTTTAACATATCACCTTAACAGTAAGTTAGATGTAATAAGAAAGATTGCCAAACGAGTATAATTGAAGAAAATCACCAAAATCTGAACCAAGAATTACATTCCCTCATCAACTTCCTTTGCAAAGTTCATTTGGATTTAAGTGAGAAAGAAAAATGGTTAAAGTAAAATCAGAGAAAAACTGCTGTAAACCTTGAGAGTAGGATAAGAAAGCACATCAGGAAGCAATGCAGATAAGAAAAACTTGTGAAAAAGGACTAAAACATTGTTCATGGGGGATTTCAAGTATACTGACATTGACTGACATAGCAGTATTAGAATTGCTAAGGAAGGGTGCTTGTTCTTGAAAGGTAGCGCACAGTACTGTGTTCTCCCTCAGCTTTTACAGAAAGCAAGATCAGAAGCTGTTCTGGAGTTAGCCCTAGGAAACAGATCTAGTATGATAAATGAAGTTGGTGAATATCCAAGGTTTAGTGAAAATAATAACCTCAGATATAAGACATTCCATAGGTTGTGTGAGAAAATACAAAAGCAGTGGACTGCAAAGTAGACAGAACTGCAAAGAACACAAAATGACCTTCAAAAAAGCTGGCTAAAATCCATGATTCTATCAAAACCTTTTTTTCAGAAATGAAGTTTTGTGAAAAGAGGACATGTATTCCACAGACAGGGCACTTATTCACTGGCAAGCTTGTGTCACAGGATGCCCTTCTGACCTCGGAGAAGTTGTCTCCTCTCCCTGGGCCTCAGCATTCTATCTGTACATTTAGAATGACAATACTATACTATCTCAAAAATGACTGAGAAATATTCAATTCCTGCAGTAACATCCACACCTGGAAGAATGAGTGTGGTGACCTTTAAGTGACAGTGAAGTTATCTGTCAGACAGTGTGGGAAGACAGGATTTCAGCAGGAGAACAACACAGAAATTGCAAAAACAATACTATAAATGAAAAAAACCAAACCATTAAAAATAAAATGCACGATCTTTTGCAATAGAACTAAGAGGAAAAATAAAGGAACGGCTCTTCTCAATCAAGAGTAGCAGTGAAGTGAAAAGTTAAAATAAGCTACAGTGTGTATAGGAAAACTGGCATGCTATGAGAAGTAAATCAGAAATCTCTAGGAAAAGTTCTTCTAAAGGATAAAAGATAGTATGTATGATACATATGTATGAAGCACTTATTTAAGAGGTCAGAAACAACCACTGAAAAAGTAGATAATCCCAACAGCAAAACCAACATCAAATTTTTCAAGGAACTTTGAAATAACAAACCAGATTCTCTCCCATTAAGGGATAGTGAATACATGAACACAGTTTTTTCATGTTCACTACAGTCCCAGAAGAAACTAGAGAGATAGGAATCAAGGTATGATATTTTTAAAAGACCACAGAATCAGCTTCTTTGATGTATATGCTGAGCAAAATGTATATGAAGCATGAAACTTGGAGAAATATAAATGAATGAGTTATCTACTCATGGATGGATGGAATAGCTGGAAACACCTAAAACACTGTAAAAACATTCCAAAATATAAGTAAAGTAATGTATGTGTCTTTTTGCTTGCTTTTAAGTTTTTACAAAACTGAGACAATTTGAAGGATACCAGTATATACTCTGTTTAGAAAGGTGGGGGTGGCATTCTAAAATTCAGTATTCAGAAATAAAGAAATGGATTTAGGAACATACATGTTTCCATACAAGCAAAACTACAAAGAGCACAGTCGAAGTTCTCATTAATGGAACTGATTTATATTGTCTACATTTGCCACAATTTGTTTTTTGAATTCTGCTTTTGGAGAAAAAAAAAAAAAAAGAGAGAGAGAGAAAACGGATTGCTGCTGAGAATCAGTTATGCTTCTCTCATAATCTGGCTATCTGAGAATGTAAAGTCAGTTCAAAGAGGGTCAGGACTGTTCAGTGTCTGTGTTGGTTGCTGTCAAAGACCAGAGAAAAATTAAGCATAGTGGGACAATCAAATGTTTGGTTTGTGGTTATCACACTGTTTCTGGTTATGTAGTAATAATAATAAAAATACTAGTGTTGATAATAATAAATCCAGGAGTGCAGCAAATTAAAAAAAAAGTAAATCTAAATTCTTACCCTTTTCTGAAGAATTAATCCACACCAGCACTAGTAAAATAACTAGCAAATACTGGCATTCTAATAGGAGAATAGAGTAAAACACAGAAAGAAAAGTGTAGAAGCTAAACTGTATGAAGGCACCTTTTACTAGCACAGTATAAGCTTTAAGAGAGATTGCAACAATAATCACTATTCTTTATCATTCTAAAACAATGACTTAAAGGAAGAGGAGTGGGATTAAACAGGTGTCTTCAAAAGATGCAAATTCAGACAGAGATCCGATCCCATCCATGATTACATTCACATTTAAACAAAACAATGCATTTAAGACATATAAACAGCCTGGGCGTCTAAGCAAAATGAGAAAAGACATGTTCAGTATTTTTGCTTAGAGTTAAATATTCCCACTGATAACTGTGAAGGAGAATAAAAAAATAGTAAAATGATGATTATACATTTTTGCATCATGGATTTCTTTATATTGTTGATTGAATGTGTATGTGTTTTGCAAGGTATGTTTCAGGACATGTTTATAAAGATCAAAACATACAAAAATATTTGAAATTATTTTTAACAAATAATCAATGCATCTTTTATTTACATGCCACTGAAAATTATTATGTAAATGTTAAAAATAGGTGGAACTGTGAGAAACTGCAATTAGCTATTTTATAAGAAATTATAATTGATTTGCTTTATTTGCAGTTTTCTTTAGAAGGAATACTTTCTAGAATACATCAAGGAGCACAAAGATATTGGAATTTCCACTATTTAAAAGTTGTTCCTTATTGTTCCTTGAAAGACAGGTAAGGTTTGCCTTTGAGGCATCTTATATTCCTGTCAGACTTCTTTTATGTTTGAATCTAGTACAGAAGGAAGGTGTCAAAAGAAATGAAAATCTTCTGGGTGTCTAGGGAATGTAAATATTTCTCTTTCTCTGCCCCAAGGACTTGTTTGCCCATATTTTGACAGTCCATGAAATCTTTGACACTGAGACCTGTCAAATATTAACAACTTTGCACTGTGCAAAACTGACTCATCATTTACACTTTCATCATTTTTTTAAACTTCAATGTCTATCATTCAATCAAAAAATAAAATAATAATTATAATAAAAAAGAAACTCAAGCCCCCGATCCAAAGAAATTTAAATGTGAATCATTCTGACATCTTTCTCGTCTGCGCAGATTTTCCCTGTATACTTTCTATATGAATAGATAGTCTTGTCAGAGACCAAGATTAACACCTATCTGTTCTATTACTGCTGACCTGTTGCTCTAGGTCATATTTTATGCAAACAAAGATACTGTGAAATCAGCATAATTAACTTTAAAATGTAGATCATTAACTGCCACTCAATTTTTAACAACTTTTTCCAACTATTAATCATTGTTCTGAGGTCAGAAACCTCAGAATTAATTTTTCATTGGAAAAAATTAGTTCCTTTTATGCTTAAGTATAATAAGGTGAAGTGCAAATATTACTATTTTTGATGTTCCAATTTTACTTTAAACTTGGGACAAAACCCATAATATCCACATAGAAGAAGAAAGATTTAAAGATTAAGTTGAAAAATGAAAGCTCTGTAACTTTTTCTAAGAACCCTACTGTCTCTTCCTGAAATAAAATTACATTCATGAATGGTGAAATATGTGTATGCATTTAAAATATGTAATATTTGTGTGCTCACGTGCTCTTACAAAGTATGACCTACATCTTGATTGGACATATCCCAGTAGGGCCGTTCTCCATAAGACATTACTTCCCACATAACGATTCCATAACTCCATACATCACTGGCTGATGTGAATTTGCGGTACTGGATGGCCTCTGGAGCTGTCCATCTCACTGGAATTTTTCCACCCTATGTTAAAAAAAAAAAAAAAAAAAAAAAAGAAAAAGAAAAAAGAAAAAAGAAAAAAAGTACTTTTCTCCCACAAATTTCCATACCATTCTACATCATCTTTCTTAGAATGCATTTATAATTACTTCTACCAACATCAAAGTCAGCACCTACACAATTTACCATAGTTTACTGATTGCAGAATCTTCAAGAGTCTTAAGCTCTTAATCACTTGGACTGTAGAAACTTAGGCACCTGTCTAAGCTAAGTTGGGTGCATTTCTCTGTAAGTGCTTCTCTTCTCCCCTTGATTTTAAGGGGCTGCTGAGATGTCTGATTTAAACTTGACATTTAACTCCTGGGTGACTGAAGTTAAGGGACAGGAATCTCATTCTGTGTATATAAATCCCATGGAATTGTCATTTGGCTCTCCTGAAATCTCAGTCTGGCACTTTAAAACCAGGATCCCAGCTAGAGCCCTGTGGCAGGAGTGACACCCCTGAATACCTTTGCAGTTTCCCAGATCCCTGTGCCTGTCAGAGCAGATTCCAGGGGCCCCTTCTTTACTCAGCATGAAAAGGTAGGTACTACAAGGCCTCACTGATAGAAAAGGGAAGATAGCTCAACAAAAGAATAAAGAGCATAGTGTGCCTGATGAATGGTTGTTTAAGAAAAACATCCCATCCAAAAGCAAGGGAAAACATGGGAGTTAAGCTTTGTCACAATCTTGCCTCAAGCTAGTCAACTTTTTGCTAAGATAAAATCTACTCTGAAAAATAATAAAACCTCACAAGTATTTTAACTGATTCATATTAGGTGAGGTGATTAACCTTTCTATGATTCAAACTTCTATACGCATTCAAACAGAGAATTATGTGGAAAGGAATAATGAAGATACTGTACAAAATATTTAGATCTCTACTAAATAAATATACATGCTCTTGCAAAAATATCAAACTCTACTTAGAATCAGATTTCTGCAGAGACTATCTTCCATTTCACTGTTTTCCATTTCTCAAGGAACTAATGTATTTCTTTTTTCTCTGCTTGCCAGAATGTATGCTTCTTAGTAACAATATCTTTAAATGATTAAAAATACATAAATATATAAATTTCTCTCACAGTGGTAGTGTAAACGGCTTCTGGATCATCTTCTATGACTCTGGAAAGGCCAAAGTCTGATACTTTACAAACAAGGTTGCTGTTGACAAGAATATTGCGTGCTGCAAGATCCCTGTGTACATATCCCATATCGGCCAAATATCTCATTCCAGCAGCAATTCCCCTCAGCATTCCCACCAGCTGAATGACTGTAAATTGCCCATCATGTTTCTGGAGGGAAAAAAGAATGGCAATTCTTATGAATATAGCTGATAAAAGAAATAAGAATGATTTTTACAACTTTAGATTTCTAATTATTTACATGAGACAGTTCATCTTAGGGCAAAGAATCTCATTTCAAATGCAAGCTATATTTTGTTTCAGACATAGAGCAGTACATCCAGTTAAGAAATGTACAAGTAGCTCACGTACTAGAAACAACAAAACTCAGCAATTCCAGTAAAATTCTCACTAACTCATGGCAAGTCTTTTTTTAAGAAAGCTTACCTCATGAAACAACTCTTCATAGTTTGTTTTTATGCTCTTCATTTCTAAGAATAACTGTATTTGCCAAGAAAATAAGAATTGTCTACTTTTAGAATCCAAGCAACCAATATTTTTTTAATAGCCTGAAATGTATGTACATATAATTTTTACATATAGTATATATGTATTTCCATTCTCTATAGGGTGGTACACACTGTTTTACAACTGGTAAGGAGTAATAACTGGCTGGTTCAAAACAAACATCCATAAACTTTAAATGCTTTTCAACTTGTTTTTCTTTTTCCTGTGCTCTTCTTTAAACATGACTATAGTTCATTTAGGGATTCTTTATTCATTTCTGCCATGTTAAAAAAAAAAAAAAAAAGGTAGAAAATTGAGCTTCAAGCATCAGTGGTCTCAATTTAGCTGGTGGCAGTACTAAGTTCCACCATTTCTATACCACAATAAATCACTTAAATTATTAGAATGTTTCCATATGATCCTGTTTGATCTTCTGATTTCTGATCTTACTCTGCTGAAAAGGATCAAGAACTGCTAATATTCAACAAATTCAATTTCAACCTGAAAAGGCCTTTTATTGTATTACTGTCATGCATGTATACATGTAACTACATATACATGCAAACATAAAACACATATTATATACATATGTATATACAGATATACATATACATATAAATAACAAGGTATGTTTTTACATATTTTCACTTTGGTACTTACCCTAAGAAATGCATCCAATGCCCCATTTTCCATATATTCTATTACAATCATAACTGGTTTCCCTGAAAGAAATAAAGGCACATTTTCTTTGAGAAACCATAATAAAAATGGACTGCCTTTTTTTGATAAAAAATATTATTTCTTTGAAGGACTGAATTGTCGAGACATGAGCATTTCAGAAGCCTCCAGCACTGTTTCTTAGCTCTAATAAGTTCTTAAATGTCTGCATGGAACGTGGTCATGATTCACAAAATTAAACTGTACAAATCAAAATGTCAATGTGTTCTCCTGACTCCTGCTGTGTGAACAGGACTTTGGAATAATGACACTTCAGATAATATAAAAGGACATAAGAAACCTTATCTCTCTGCATGGTCTTTGAGGCTAAATGAAACAAGAAAAATAATGTATTTCAAAGTACTTCATCTTTTAATCATGCACGCATCTTAATTTTTTTCCTCAGCTTGTAGCATGAAGTAGGCATTGTTTTAGTTAGTTACGCATCAGGAGAAAATCCATTAGGACTGTGCACCCTATTTATAATTTAAATCTTTGACAATGAATAAACTAAAGTAATTTCTGCCATTAGGTTGTTATCTGACTGACAGATTAAGCTGCTGCTTACCTCTGGTAACAACTCCTTCTAAGTGAACAACATTGGGGTGGTCAAATTGTCCCATGATGCTTGCTTCACACAGGAAATCTCTCCTTTGCTTTTCAGTGTAGCCAACCTTCAGAGTTTTTATGGCTACTGCAACATCTCTCTTGCCAGGAAGCTTTAGACGTCCACTGCACACTTCACCAAACTCTCCTAAAATGAAGTAGATCAACAATGAATTACTCTAATATCAATACTCTTTACAGGCCTTGATTCCACTAGCTGCTTAAGTATATGTTTAAATTTAGCGTATGAACATTCGTATTTTAAATGGATTACTTAGGAACAAAGTCAGGCACATGCTCCCCATTAATTGCAGAGCGAATACATAGCAGAACAAACATATGAAGTTAAACCAATCTACAGCATTGCTGTCTCAATCTTTGTAAAACACTTTTTAGTAATTTATTGCTCTTTTTTTTTTTTTTTTTTCAAAAATAGGAAATAAAAATGAAGTTTATTTCATAAGAAAATACTACTACAGACATAACACCATTTGAAGTGAAAATATCCTTCAGTTCTAGATGGTTTCATCACTATTGTTAAGATTCTTTTTTTTCCCCCTTTTTTAAAAGACACCTCTTTCAAAGCTGCTTTTAATTTAACATTGTTACGGTGTTAAATGAAGCACTACATTATTAATTTCAAGAAGGATAATTTACTTTGCAGATTATAAAATTTAAGGTGTGAATTATAATGTTTTTGTTACATTAAACAAACACAAGCAAATGCTGGAATTCTGTAAAAGGTTTCTAAATTAAAAGATAATTGCAACTTGAAGAAGCACGTGAAAAAAAAAAAGGCTAATCTGCAAGAACAATATAATAATAATAAAAAGGTCTCAGCAACTGTAATTTAGGAGAGAAGCAATTGGACTTATTTGGACAGGAAAGTGCATTCACCTATATGAGATGTGGATCTCAGTGTCAGTACATACATCTCATTATTATTATTATTCAGATTGTGAAAGATTTAAGGATTGCCCCTTGCCTCACAGCAGCGTCAGCAAGGAGAAAAAGAGAAATCTCTGTTCTGTAGCCAGAAAGAAAAATTTCTTGGGACATACACAAGAATATGGTGATAACATATTTTACAGGGAATAAACAAAATACTTTCTAACAAGAAGGAAAGATTCACTGCAGAGTTTCTAGTAGTCTGGCACCTTGAAACTTTATCTGGGAGAGGAAGAACCAAGTTCCTCCTCCAAATCCAATCAAGTCTGACATTTACCTCCAGCATGACTGTGGAATGTCTTAACATTAAGCTATTGAGTATACAGAAGTATGCAGACACACCTATATTTAAGACATGTTTTAGGATGAGCTAAAAAAAACAGTGATAGAATTAGGAAAGACTGACATAGACTGTTTGATTAGAAAATCCTTTTGAGATATAAACTGAGGTCCTGAGAAACCTGCTGGGATGGCGAATGGCAGAGCAGAAAGTGTGTCTGTAAAGTGCCTAAGGAGATAGATTCTTAATTGTCCTAATTTATAAATGCTAAGAAATCTTGTTTGAGACATTATCACTGTTCCAGCACTACTATTTTCCTGACACTCCCAATAGCAGAGCTCAGAGAAGATAAAAACACCACCTGCGCCTCAGCTTTGCAGTCCCTCCAGCCCACAGGAGTAGAACTTCGGCCAGACCGTATTTCCTACTGACTTGTCTGGGCAAATCTCCACTCCAAATTGCCAGTTTTGCAAATCTCACTGGAGATGATTGCATACATAACCAAATTCCTCTCTCTCTGTTCTGTGCTAGCTGAATTAAGGTTAGCTTCCATCAATTCTAAATACCACTCTAAACACAGTGTTGTATCTGAACTAACCAGACTGATGAAGGATGTTGTATTTGCCTGAACAGATGAGGCATTAGGCTCAACTATACTCAGGCAATGGAGTTATGGTATGAACACCCAAGTCACAGCTATGAATATTAAAAGGCAGGGACATACATAATGATCAGCTGATGGATTTCTCATGTCCTCAGATTCCTGCCTTAACCTTCCTCCTGCGCTTCATTAGCAATGTTGATGACTATTAATGAATTCACTATTCACTTTAATCATAGTCTCTAACCACAATAACTGACTAAAGGATAACAATTTTCTCTCTCAGTACCTTCTGGAACTGTTTTTATCCCATGCTGCGTGAGTACTCATAAGACGTGAGTATATGTATGTGTTTGTATGTGATACTTCAATGCCAGGTAATTGGGAGACTTGGCATGGAAGACACTAAGGTTTCCTTAGTGTCTTCCAGCTATCCTTTCCAGCTCTCTGGGATCTGATTTGGATTGATTTCCAAAAGCAGATCACTCATACTCAGGCAAACCAGAAACTTGTACGTGTATAGTATGCATTTCAGGACAGGCTGCTAGCCAAATTACTTTTTTCCCCAACAAAGCAGTAGCTTTCAGTTAGCTGAAATGGTGCCCAAAATGGACCCAGAAAATATGACAAGGGTGTGAACACTGCACAGCTAACAGCCACTAGCTCAGCATGTCAACAAGGAGCAGGCTATGACAAAGGATCTGCAATAGGAACAAAGACTCCACACAGCGGGCACCATAATCTGTATCAGACAGGTGGCCACAGCAGGATGGTAATGAAAACGTTGGCAAGTAGAAAACATAACCCTCATGCAAATTGAACACAAACATACTTGCAGCCTGTTTGTCTGAGAGAGACAGGGCACTACTCAACAGGTGAGGTGGCCAGCAGTGCTGGTACACAATGAGACTGTTAAGTGGCTGTTCTGGTGCTGTCACTAGCAGCAACTCTACACTCTTCTTTGACATACAAGTTTCAGCTGCTTCTTTTAGTCTTCAGTGTTCTACTGTTTCTAGATTAGATTTCACTTCATTCTGTGTTCATAGCATAAAGCCATAGCTAAAACCCCCCTACACAATGTATCTTCACCTTAGTACTTCTACATAACTTTCTTTAGAACGACCACTCTCACAAATTTTTTTTGCTATCAGTTATACTAATTAAAATAAAAAATAAATTAATCTGTCAACAAAACTAACAGTGTGGATTTCCTTTGCCATAATACTGAAAATATTAGTGTCTCAAATTGTATTGCAAGTGAAGCATTTTCAGCATTTTGCTCAGAAGGCTTCAGAAAATCCGACTGAACATATCATCACGTTCAGAACTCTTGCAGTGCTGATAGTTTTTTAGCTCAAAGCAAAAGATAAAACTGTAATTTTTCTGTGCTAATCTAGATTTTTAATCTTGTATACTGCATGTTTATTAGAAGAGATGTTGCCATTCTAGCATCACAGAAAATTACTAGGGATTCTTATGCTCTTACTCATCTGAAACAGTAATTTTCTCAAGCAGTGTTGTTAATTACTATGGTACAAATCCTTGATAAAGACATGATTCAACAAGAGCGAGGTTACTTTAAAAATGTGTTGTGAATTCTAAGTGTAAAGATTTTTCTGCTAAAACAGCTTATTTTAGAGATCTTTATTATTCTCTTTTAAAATAATACTGCACTATGTAATTTACAGCCATGCCAAATTACAGGGTGATTTTAAAAGTATTCTACTAATATTTTTATAAAACAACAGGAAAGCAAAAGAAAATTTCCTCCAGGAATCCCAAGTATTTGATATTTTTCTTACCCACAGAAATTTAATTTCACTACATAGAGTAGTGCAATAAAAATGTCACGTACCTTATTAATGCAAACAAATGAAACTGCTTTTTTAGAGCATGAACACCATGACTTAAGTAGGTGGTAGACAGTTCAAGAGGAAGAAAAGCAATGTAATGCTGGTGCAATTACAATCAGTCACGAGAAGTTAAACAATAACTTTTTGTCTTCATAAAATATCAAAAAGAAAAATGGCAGAACAGAAAACAGCCTTAGGGAAGATTTTGTTCTACAGAAACAAGACCTTCCTAGTCTGTATGTAAGATTTTGTGCTGCAGCCAGTTTTCTTACTAACATGAAGAAAAAATGAGAGGCCAAAAAACCTTTTGCAATAGGAAAGCAAGCAGAATTTGCAATCATGCCTAACCCATTTACTATGACAGTAAATAATAAAAGCAGAATCACTTCCCCCCCCCCCCAAAAAAGCATACTAAACAGTACATATAGAAATTAAAAACTCACATCTTTCAATGTCAAGCAGAATTTTTCATATATTTATTACATATATATATACTAATTCTACATATATCCTTTTTTGTGTCTGTTTTTAGCTTTTTGTTTCCCTGTTTGTTGTTACATTTTAGAAGGAAGAGTAGCTTCACTGCTCTTAACCACTCTGGTGAATGCAAAAAATTCTTCTGTAGAGGAGGTATAATTATTTGCCTGTCATTATGATGTATGAGTTTCCATCCTGGCTAAATGGAACAGTTGAATAAGGAAGCCACGACAGCCTTACCTGCACCAATCACACGCTCAATTTTAATACAAGAGGCATCTAGCTCCTTGGCGAATTGATGGACAGCTCTATTTGGGTCCTCGTAGGTTTCAGGGTCAATGTAGGTTTTGGTGCCTGGAAATTTAACTGTAATGATGTAAGAAAGCATGACTGTGATGAAGCAAAGGCACTTATTATGCAGTCAGCCCAGGAATTTCATTATGCAGAGTGCTTCTTGGAAGAATGAGCCTGCTTCCACAGCGCCTGAGTCAGCCGCTCTGAGAGACAACTTTAGTTTTAGGCATCGTCTGTAAGCATGCTGACACAAGTGCACAATCCCAGCTTTAAAAATGACTAATATTAGCATTTTCACCTACACCTCCGAGTGAAAGAATAAACATTAAATAACATTCAATGGAACAAAACACATGGCCCGAGTGGGAGTAAAAGTAAAGCGAGGTGTGGGGGGGGAGGTTATAAAGGAGGTGAAGCTTTCTTTTCTGTGTAAAGACAGCTTACCCTCTTTCCCAGATTGAGTAAACATTTCTTTATGTTAACTCTTTCTTCTACGGGGATTTGAAAAGCTCCTCTACCTATTTCAATTTGTTTAAACTACTCAATGTATTTCCAGGTTCTGGCAGTAGCCAAGTTAAATTATTCACACCTCTTGGAATTTATATCCTTAGGTATGCTTCTTACACTACAATATGAACATAAGAAACACTTGTAATCGATGTGTAAAGGCACAGGAAGGGAAAGCAGATGCTGTGGAACAATTACCTCTCTCCCAGTGACCTAAGTGAATAAAATGTAGCACCTGGGTTCTGCTCCCTCATTTTCCAATACAGCTCTTAGTGTAACTTAGGCAGCATAGTGCTCTGGCCAGCAAGCAGTGTTTCCCTTTTCCTGCTGATGCAAGAAAATTATTTGCTTTTCTTTTGAAAGCAGAAACTTCTGGTGAAAGTAGAGCAACCTGAAAATCTATTAACCAAGCAATTTTTATGAAATTAATTTGACTCTCAAGGATTACGGTTCTGGGTTTTAATTAAATCAGCAAATTAAAACTCAATATGGAAAAGCAATAATGTTCCAGTGCTAAATGATGCACTGATATACATGAATTGGATCAAAAGTCAATACATAACATAAATAATTTATAGTTGCTTTGTAATCTCTTATTTGATCGTAAAATATTTTAAATTTCAAGATATATTGAAAAATGGCTTAGTAATTACATGTTCTTATGTGTCAGATTGCATTATTGATAGAAACATAAAATCAAAAACTTGTATGAAGAAAAAGCTGAAGTAATTGACTGAGAAATCTAATGAATTTGCAGATAGAAAAATTATTCAAGATTTTGCCCAGATTATTTGGGTTACCAAAGCCCAATTATTGCTTGCAATATTATGTACTCAAATGTTCTTTCAATTGTATCGACAATGCTACAGATTTTCAAAAATGTAAATATTTTTTAAACCAAAAAAAGACCACAGAAAAAGATAATAAATCAATAGATTAAACTCCTATAATAATGCTTTTGGGCAAGGAGTTGAGAATGAGCCATCTTCATTGTATTTCTGATAAGAGGCCTGGATTGGAGGTAACCTTGTGAATCTCAAATGGTCCTCTGATGGTTCTTTATTCAGGTTGTCATAAAACATTTTGACAGGCCAAGGCTATCACAGAATACCAACGCGAAATAGTGTTGGAATAGATTTGAAGACACTGTTAGAAGAAGGTAGGAGGAAGCAAAATGTAAATTTGAATTGCTTGAGTAAATTCCTCCACTGTTTTTAATCTTTAAATGTAGTACTTGGGCCACAGAAAATTCAGGGGGATAGAAATAGAAGACAAGATATTCTACAAAAAGCGCTACTTTAAAATTTGTTATAATTACTTGTAAAGTTTTGTGTTAAATGTTTGTTGTAAGTTAAGCTTTTGAAAATCCAGTGTGGTATCTCTACATATAAGAAAGTTGCCTAGAGGTCCTGAAGCAGAAAGATGCCACAGTTCTGTTCACAGCGCTGTGAACCAGCTGGTTACCAAAGCACAGTGTTCCACCTTCTTCTGCTTATGAGTATCAAACAAAATTAAACACTAGGCTGTCAATAAATAGATGATGAAAAGCTCTATTGGTAAAAAATGACTTACATTTGGCAGTATTATTTTTAAAAAGACTGTTATGACTGATTTTCTGTATAACCAGATTTCTCCAAAGGAAAATAAGAGAAATAAACATTTCTCACAATTTCTAGATCAACTATTAAATGTTAAGTAGCAGCTTTCATGTTAATTTGCTTACACTTCCACAGAAACAAAAAATACAATAGATAATGGAAATGAGGTGAGGGATTATTTAGCTATCATCTTCCCTTTGTTTATATGCTCAAATACAAGAATATATAATCAATCTTTTCCTTCAAGGACATAATGGGGATTCAAAAAGTGAAAGCAGTAGCTCTTCTGAAGATATGAAAAGCTTATAGTGCATCTGTGAGAGGCAAATTTCAAAACCATCACTTCTAGAATAGAAACATTTAAGTTATATCAGATTTTTGATGAACTCCTTAAAATCAGCTGTTCTGCAAAGTGCATGATAAATAAGTCTTATCCCATTATTATTTTCCACCTTTCTTGTACAGATTATAAACTGATTGATAAAAGCTGCAATGTTGTCACTGCTTGGTTTAATACTCGCTGCATTTAAATGAAATTATTTAGGTAGCAGCACATCCATACTCACAGATTCTATTTGATTTGATTCTGTCCAGATAGAAAGGTGAAATAAACCTTGATCTGATTTCCAATGGATATTTGGCTAGAGCTCCTGCTTTAGAGTTATGCACTGAGAAGATGCTATAGATTTTTGACTAGTGGCTACTTCTTTCTCCATATGTCATCACATTCCAATAGTAGGTCATGATTTCAATAAATATGAAACCAGATAAACCTTACTGCTTTCATAAAAAGAAAATCAGATGCATTTAAACTACAGCTGTTATTGCTGGTAGACAGCAAAGGCTACATACAGCACAGTATGACTACATGGCATTGTCTACCGTTATGAAAACTGGAAACTCAGGCTTTCTGGGGGGGAGGGGATGAGGTCAGAAATTGCATACAGTTTAATTCTGTTACGTGTTTTTGAAATTCGAACACACAAAATAATTTTTTGTAATACTTTTTACTAATAATTTTTTGTGTACTTCCTGAGTTAATGTCTAATTCTAAAACAATTTCAAACATTTTTTCATTTATGATGTCAAAATGTCAATAAAACTGATATAAGAAAGGGCTAAAATGTGAAAGTTTTAAAAATTATTTTCTGATACAACTGAAAATATTCTTTCTTTTTTTTACTGCACAGGCCCTTTTCTCATCCTACATTTTCTATTGTCATTAAGGAAGATTTATTTTATTGTTTTACTGAATTTTCCCAGAATTCTAGCATAAATTCAGATGGCAGCTAAAATTCTGAAAAGAGAGACTTTGTCTGCTATTCATTGCTAGGGAAGTGATTTTAGAACACAGAATAATAGTGAAACATCTAATCTTTCTTTTCGTGATAAATAATTTAAGGACATTGTTAAAAATACTGATACTATTGCATTTGCTGTTGCAGAAAACAGGTTTTGAGAAATGATGGAGACAGTGACTGCCACTTGCTTAATCTGAAGTTTGTTTAAGGTAAAAATCATATAGTAACTTAGCCAAAGACCTCTCAAACACTGCATCTCAGAGTGATCATTAGGACAGTATGAAGCATATTCAAAGCAATCCATCAAAAAATGCTGAATGAAAAAAAATGGATTATCATATGCATGTATAAAAATAAAACTATACAAGCAATGCTGACTTAAATCAGCATTCTTTTTCTGTAGGTCACATTTTTACAGTGTTTAACTTGCTATTTACATAGCATTTTTAAATTTCTTTGAACTTTGCAATTCACAGAATGCTATTTTAGTATTGCCTACAGTAATGCAGTTGGGAATTTTTGAAAGGGACAAAAAAAGCAGAACACTTACAATGAAAGTAAAGCTCTTCATCCCCTTCTTGATCAGCTTTGCTATAGCCACAATGCCTGAAAGGAAAAATGTCAGTTTTGCTGGTAAATAATGATTTACTTCCTCACATCTGAAGCCCTGACAACATCAGTCCTTTGGGCTGGGATTTTCAGGCCATGAGCACCTAACTCCTGTAGGCCCTTTGAAAGTTTGAGCTATAATTCTCTTGACAGCAGAGGTTTAAATAAATCATGAACAGTTGTAATCAAAAGGCTTTTGTATCAAATACTAGTTGGGACAGGTCCTAAAGAACCTTGTTCTTGTGAAAAGCTTCTATGGATAAAACAGAGGATTAAAGAACTTGAAAGTAGAACACTACTTTACATGAGGGTATTCTTAACTTACTGTGCCTCTTTTTCTTGAATGCAAAGTCATTTAAAGGCTGATCAGATAAAGTGTCAGGCTTCTCTGTGTGAGAGAAACTAAACAGAAAGGAATTTTCATGAGTACAAGTAAAGAATGTGCTAAGGGTTCCTTTTACAGCACATTCACATCAGACTGAAAGAACATCTTGATTTAAGAGTGTCCTGGATAAACTGTATAATTGATAACGAGATTTAAACAAAAAATGTCCTTACTAACCACGAGTTCCATTTCATATTTGCAAATTACTATCTTAGATGTTCTTATGCCTATGTAATGTGCAATACCTTCGCCCGATGATGAATCCAAACACCATGAAGACCAGAATGATGGTTCCTGCCACAGCGACTACGGCTATGATAATAACAGGATTCTGTTCACTGGAAACAGCAGTGGCTGCAAACAGAGCAAAGAGCAGAGATTAGCTTAAAATTATTCCCTGCAAAAGAGCTGCAAAAAATTAAATTGAATTTAATGAATTGCAGATGATTAGTTTACTTTTTTAGTTGCCCAAGACTATCAAATTGATTAAGTTAATATAAAGAAAGGCCTCTATCAGAAATTCATCCCTGATCATCAACAGGGAATAAAAAGGAGTTATGCTGGAATTGCTCAAAGTGGTACAACCACTTTCTAAAAGTCATCACCAACCATTTCAGTTTGCTGAAAGCCAGCATCAACCCTCCTACTGCTGCATTTTGTTCTGCTTTGCTCAGTGACTAACGCCTTCCTAAAAGAGAACAAGACATCCCTGAAAAAGGAGACAGCAGGAGAATGAATGCTGAAGAACTCCACTTCTAGCCTCACCCCTAAAACTGACTGAAATGACTTCAATGAGAATCCTAAGAAATGGTATAATAAGTATAATAATATTTAAGATTAAAGATTATCTATTACCACAGACTTCTTAGCATATTTCTTTCTTATTACTATTAATCACTGTAAATTGTTATTATCACTTAAAATTTGTTTCTGTTAGCAATGAAGAAGTGTTTCCACAAATACAAAATGGAATTCTCCATGCTTCAGAGATTTTACATGCTAAAATATCCACACACTATTGCTCTTTTTACTCAGTTATGCCAATTTTATTAATAAATGCAAATGTATTCATGTCACATTAATTTAAACTGAGGGTGTAAATACATAGCCTGAGATACCTCAAAGTTTGTTAAATACTGTACTTGCCACTCATCTAATGAGGATGGACCTACACTCAGCTGCATTAAATGAGCACAACTCTACTGAACATTATGGAGCTATGCTGATTTATAACAGTGAGTATCTGGCCTGGCCCAAGAGGCTGAGAATAAAGAAGGAGGCATCAGGCAGTGATAATGAGGTAGGGACTGTGAAAGTGTGAGTCATTTGGAAGCAGCAGAAAGGTGTGGAAAAAAAAAAATAAAAATACTCTCAGCTGATTAACTAAACTGTAGATGGTACGTTAATACAGTTAATTGATTAAGTCATGGTAGTGCTAACTAAAGATGATGATTTCATGAACTCCACAGAATCTTCCTCTTGCAGTTTTCATAGAAACAAATACACTAGTCCCTTCCTTACTCTGTCTTAGGAGAAGTAAACCAATCAACATGATTTATGATTTATTTTGTCACTGATCTGTGCTACATGCTCCCCCCTAAAATAACAATCCTCTTGTTTTGTTAAACAGTGTAAAACAGCACCTCTGTGTCGAGATGAAATTTCCTTCTCCCCTAGGTTTATTTCCTAAAGAAACTTTATAATTTCTCGATGTTCTACATGATGCAGGTGAGGAATATCTCATTATTCATATTGGGCCTTAACTGAAAAGAACAAGCGTTTATTTTTGAGTTAAGTATAACCTCCTGAGATACTCAGGTTAGCAAGGTGCTACCAAAGGCCTGCACATACCCCATCTTTGCAATGTTTAGGAAATTAGTGTACTCTTGTACAGGAGTGTATGGGCCCAAGTAATACAATTCAGTTCCTGAATAACACTGACTGCCCATCAAATGACACAGCCTTAAACACAGGTATGTTGAGTTTATGCAAAATTTCCTAAAACTTTATCATTTCTTCTTAGGACTCCTGTGGAAAACTTTCTTGGAAGTGAAAAAGTAGCCATCTTGTCCCAATGGCTAGTGTGCGAAGTTGTATCCATCTAACAGTTTGGAATAACATCCACTCAAACTTGTCACCTAATCTAGCAGCCAAGTTGAGTGCATAGAGGTTGACATATGTGAGTGGGTTGCTCTGCATAACTGCCTCAAGATGTTGGATACCAGCACATTCTGGAGGCAAGCCGAGGATGTTATTTCGGCTCTACAAAATGTTGGGGGCAGAGTAAACTGTCCAACTGCTAAGATAGGTGGGACATAGCGCATGATGTACTTTTACATATTTGAAATAAAAAAGCTCTGATGTGGGCATGGTCTGGTGACAATATAGTGACAGCAGTCTGAGACATCTGCCTCTGTTCATGTACTGTATCTGTGCTGCTTCTCCTGTTTGTGTTATGAACTCATGCTGTTACTTGGCTTACATGCAATTCAGATTCCAACTTCTGGAATGTGGTCTGGCAGAAATAAAGATGGTAAGAGTGCTGTGAGAGAAAAGATTTTGGAGTGCAGATGGCATGGCTGCCATCCACTGGTGTTGCCATGGTGGTGGTGGCAGGAAAACAACAGCAAGACAGAGAAGTCTGTCCTTACCTCCAGTTAAGCTGTGCTCAGACTCAGAAGGCAAAAGAGGGAGTAACTACAAGTGACATCTGACACTGCAATATCTGCTAATCCAAAGGAATGAGGCAGTCCTTACTTTAAAGAAGTTAAGGCTACCTTCTAAGTATATGGTTGAAGGGGTGGGGAATGTACACCCAAATATGCTGGAGGATTTAAAAGAGGAGATTAATTGTAAAAGCTGTACTGCACCTCTAGCAACATTTTTTTTCATGCAGGCAACCTGAAATGTACGAGCTGCAGAAAATACTTGATGAAGTGAACATGAAAACTTCAACAATAATGTGATTTAAGATATCTTTCAAGTAAATCAGTGGATCAAAAGGTAAAATTACCACTTAAGTGACATTCTTTGGATCTGCATTTTCTTTCTTTGGGACTTTTCTCTAATAAACAGCAGAGGTTCCAAGAACAAAATATAGTGATTCAGGTTCTTTGTTCTGAGACAAATATAGTACAGAACATAAATACACTGCCTTCATAAAGCATTTTTGCTTTATAATTTTACTTTTTTTTCTTTTTTTTTTATAAGGTAAACATGTATATGTAATCCAACGTATACAGTATGTATAAATACAGGTATTAAATATGTATATTTTACATACATGGTTATATGACATAGATTGTTTCTCAAATACTGAGAAGTGGCCATGCAGTTTTGATTGCAATACAAAAATCTGTTAAATCGACTGCACCATTCAAGAGGTGCTAAACAGCTGAAATATCAAGTGAAATTGAGTATGCAACAGGGCTAGCTAACTGTGCTAGTTGAGTACTATCACTATATATATTCTTGAAATACTCAGATAGTCTTAAAAACCACATTCAGAAAGTCATTGGAATAAGTAGAAAACAGAGTAGTGCGTCTTAACTGTAGCGTAACATGGGTTTATTGCTCACTTGTACAGCGCAGTATATTTCATAAAAATGATCCACTAATGTTCTTATGAAATGCTAATGCGTGCCCAATTTTATTAACCTGCCAGATCTGATAAAATTACAAATAAAATAGGAGAAACAAAGATTCTTATTTGCATGAGAATTCTAAAATAATTTGTTAAGTATGCTATCTTTTTACCAACATTTTAATTCTTTCTGAAAATTTTATATGGAACATTGGAGTTGCATATCACTGATGGGAACTGCATCCTTTCCTCTCAGGAATATTGAAAATATGCCACTTTTGAAATTTTCTTTTGTGAAAGCACATGACATGGAATGTCAAAAAACAAAGCTAGCCTGTGACAAGAGAAAAAATCTGGTGTGCATACTGTTCCAGTATGTCACTGATTTATATGTATCCTTTCATTACCTGGACTGAGAAAAGGTGTACATGATGCAAAACGGTCAATTCTAGGATTTTCTACTCTTCCATAAGTTAATCAAACTCCAGTCAAGCACTAGGTTTTTTTAAGGCTTATCTCAGAAATTGTCTTTGTTCATCTTGGTAGCTACTAGTATGCTTACATGGAGCAGAAAAATACTCATATCAGAAATGAAATTTTGGGGAAACATTTTGATATAATAATTTTAAGCAACCGTGATTAATTAGTAGAAATCTATGACAGATTGCAAAAGCCTTTAAATATTTTTTTCCCCAGAAATTTATTCAGATATGAAGATTATTCAGATATAAAATTACTTCTGTCTATAACTCTGGATATTGTTGCTTGTATCTCAGAGATTTCACTGAATCTCACTGCCTATGTAAAGCAGAACTCTACAGATGAAAAGCCTGCTATTAGATACAGAGCTAATAACATTGGTCATAATATTTTATTGCTACTATTATGATAATTACTATTTCAATTAAGTCTATCAGGTGTGTGCTATTACTTCTTATTGATAATTTTCATATCCTGCGTGGAAGCAAGATTAAGACCTAACTACTGTTTTTTAAATATACCTTCAAATTCTTCAGGCGACACCAGGCTGCAGTTAAATAAGATGCAATTGTGCATATCTGCATAAAGCACAGAGCAGAGCTGATATCTGTAGCTTTTGAACCTGTAGGCTATGTATTTCCAGCTCCAAAGTAGGCAGAGCTGCTAGGAAGGTCAACCTGAAGCAAATGACTCAAACCCAAATGGCCAAATTTTTCTGCAAGGGACATGGGCAGCTCCGATCAGCTGGCTCATGGCTACCAGCTCTCAGTGGTACAAAAGTTTCCTTCTGAAGACTCAAAATGTGGAAGTTTGCATGCACACAACTACATGATGAGTCATGAAAAATGTGTCAATGAAATTTCTAGACAAACAAGGGTACATGACTGGTTTCATCATCAAGAAAGAGCAAGCTCTCCCAAAATATCTCCCTGCTAAGTTGTCACAGACAGAATCTCTGGTGTACTGTATGAGCAAGTTCATGCTCCAGGTTCATACTTTCCTTTGTGAGGATTTAAGGAGACTTTTTTTCTTTACACAGCTTACTGCTTATTACAAGAACCTTAGAGAAATCTAATGTCTTTGAGACCTTTATTCTTTACTAAATATAAGTGAAACTGAGCTCAGAAGATAGTAAGAACAGACATATATCTGAAAAAAGACAAACCCATATGTAAACAAACTGTATAAAGGTTTGTTTGTTTTTGTTTGTTTTCTTTTTTTTCCTAGGAAATTACACAGAAAAAGATGTCCTGGAGAAGCCTCCATGGACTGAATCTGTTTTTCCTTTCTCTCCACAGTTACTGAAGAATCTAGCAGAATTGCTCAGCTCATATAACCTCTTGTAATAAGGGAACAGATGTGTGTTCAAATAATTAAAAAAAATAATAATTTAATTTCTCTGCACTAGAAAGACATCAGAGAAGAAGAACCCAATGTTACAAATATAATGGCTATTTATAAGAGTGCAATTTGTAGTTCTATGGTAACATAAGTAATTGAAGTTCATCCTTCGAAATACAATGACAAAATCCACTCACAGAATTTTTTTTTTCCTTCTGATTTTAATAACATTGCCTATGACTCTTTGATATTTTGCTCTACTTACTATTTCTGAAATGCTTCATTTGTTACTTAATGAAAATGCAAATTTCCCAGAGATCCAAATGTTTACCTGTGGCTTCTTCTAGTGTGGCAACATCCAGTCTGGGGCTATAATTTCCATAACCAGCAGCAGTAAAAGCACGAATCTGGAAAACGTATACTGTTCCTGGCTTTAGGTTATTAATAGAAGCTGAAGTGGACTTGGTTTTTACTGTTGAATAGGTTCTCTCCCTTTGATCCTGGAAACAATCAGACAAAAGATTTAAATGACATTTACAGGTCAGATTTTATCATGGTTACACATCAGCAACTGACAGCCAGCCTGGGTAGTTTATTTCAATTTGTTGAATGCTTTTTTTTCCCATCGTAAAAAATAAAGCATACTCTGTGGAGTATTACAAAATACTGCCATTGCAATGACGAGGTCGAAGTGTAACATAAAATTCAAATGGGATGCTCATGTTGTTACTCATAAAAATCCAGACATAAAACAATTGCTTCTTTGGCTCGGATTACATTTTGTGAAGTTGTGATGGAAAAGTAGCTTGAACGCAGCTTTCCAGAGGGACCTGTAGAGTTTAAACAGTTCAAGGACAGGGAAATCTGTTACTGTATGGTCAGAACACATTCTGTTCCTAACTTCCAACACTTCTAAAAAATTATAATAGCACTAATGTTTAACCAGATGGATTTTGCACCAAAATCTCAGGTCTCTGACTAGAAATTTTCAATTTTTTCTCTAGCTGTTCTCAGGTTCTAACTCTAGGGCATCAAGAAGAATCCAGGGAGAGAAGCTCAGTATGACACTTTCAAAATATGAAGCTGTAATATTACAAGTCCTATGAGTAACTGCTCACTTTCAAATGCTATAAAAATGGTATCAAAGACATATATTATATTCAAAAAGTTACAGAATCACAGAATCATTAACGTTGGAAAAGTCCAACCATACACTTACCACCAACGTTGTCCACTAAACTATATTCCTTAGTACCATTTCTACACATTTCTTGAACACTTCTAGGGCCAGTGACTCAACCACTGCTCTCAGCAGCACATTTCATGTCTGACCACCCTTTCAGGAAATTTTTCCTATTATCCAACCTGAACGTCTCCTTGTGCAACTTGAGGCCATTGTGTCTAGTCCTATCACTAGTTACACGAGAGAAGAGGCCAACCCTCAGCTAACTACAACCTCCCTTCACGTAGTTAGAGAGAGTGATAAAGTCTCCCGAGCTGCCTCTTCTCCAGACTAAACAATCCCAGTTCCCTTGACCGCTCCTCGTAAGAGCTGTGCTCCAGATCTCTCACCAGCTACACTGTTCTTCTCTGGACACACTAGGACCTCAGTGTCCTTCCTGCAGTAAGGGGCACAAAAAAGAACACATTACTCAAAATGCAGTCTCACCAGAACTGAGTATAGAGGATTTATCACTTCCCAGCAACACTATTTCTGATACAAGCCAGGATGCCATTGGCCTTCTCAGCCACCTGGGCATACTGCTGGATCATGTTCAGCTGAGCATCAGTCAACATCTGCAGGTCCTTTTCCTCTGCAGAGTCATCCAGCCACTGCCCTAAGCCTGTAGCACTGCCTGAGGTTGTTTGGCTGAAATGCATGACCCAGAACTTGGTTTTGTTGAACTGTATCCCATTGGCCTCAGCCCAATAATCTAGCCTCTCCAGATCCCTCTGTAGGGCCTTCCTTCCCTCAGGCAGATCAGTGCTTCCTCCCAACTTGGTGTCATCTGAAAACTTACTGAGGGTGCATTCAATCTCCTCATCCAGGTCATCAATAACGATATTAAACAGAGTGGGCCCCAATACCGACCCTTGGGGAATACCACTCGTCTCCAGCTGGGTTAAATTCCGTTCACCACCACCCTCTGGGCCAGCCATCCAGCCAGTTTGTTAACCAGCAAAGAGTGTACCTGTCTAGGCAAGGGCTGTCAGCTTCTCTAGAAGAATACTGAGAGAGATAGCATCAAAAGATTTGCTGAAGTCTAAGTAGACTACATAAACAGCTTTTTCCTCATCTACCAAGTGGTTCACTTGATCAGAGAAAGAGATGAGGTTGGTCAAGGAGAACCTGCCTTTCATGAGCCTGTGCTGGTTGAGTCTGATCCTGTTGCTGTCCTGCATATGCTGTGAGGTTTCGCTCAAGACGATCTATTCCATAACCTTCCTTGGCATCGAGGTCATGCTGACCAGCCTGTAGTTCTTTAGATTCTCCTTATGACCCTTTCTGTAGATGAGAGTCTTCATCACATTTATGGAATTCATCACATTTAATGATTGAGATTATCTTTCAGAACGGATATGTGCAGCTCTGTTGATTTTCAGTGGCAAAAGCAACCCTGACTTGAAGGGCAGAAGAGGTGAGCTAACCAACCATCTGAATGCACCACATGACCAGAGAAGCATGAGCTTTATAAGGCAGTGCTAATGAGACAGATACAGAGGGAAGGAATAAATCTGTAACTCATTTCAATTTGTCAGCTAAGAAATGATGGAGAACCTTCCCCTTTACAGTCAACAAAGCAGCAAAGGCTATTGCTGAAATACTGGATTCAACACAACATATTTGATTTCTTTTCAGAGATTCACTAATGGCTTCTCCTGGGCCTTGCTCTCTCAGTCATTTGCCCAAGCCCATCAACTCAGCTAGCAACAATTTTTCATATCTTTTCCAAGAAAATTTAAATCATCTTAAGTCAGAACCATGGTGGAATGTATGTTGATATGTGAGGAAGAACAAGAATGCTTGAGAGAGGAGAATCGAGCACAATAAGACTGTAAATACTCATACAGGTTCACAATTGTAAGCCACAACGGAATTTCAGAGTTTTGGGTTTGAACCACAAATGAGCCTTATTTGCAGTTCTTGAATTAAAAAAAAATAAACCAAGAAAAGACAAAGAAGTAAAAATAACCTTAGCTAGAAAAATCACAGGACAGGCTTACTTGGGAGATTTCAGGCATTTTCCACTCCAGCTGTAGCCAGGAGGATAAGATGTGAAAAAAGTACTTATCAGAATATTTCAGAACCACAAAAAATGTTTGATTTAATTTAGCCTTAAAAATAGCTGTAAATGTCCAAATCTTCTTTTTTTTTTTTTTTGTTTGTGGGATATTTTTTGGGGGGGGGGGTACGGGGGAGGGTTGGGGGTGGGGGTAGATGGGTGATTGGTTGGCTTAACACAATAATGGAACAAAAAAACCTGCCTTGCTAATTTGAGCAAGAAGCTTACGATTCAAACTGATCTGCACTGTTTTGAAATAAAAGCAAGTCATTAAGCATTTTTTAAAATAGATTCACTGAATTAAAGGTTTAAATTCAGTACATCTGTGACTAGCTGAAGGATCAGGTTCTTACTCTCTTTTCTTAATTTCACTATAATAAATAGAATACTGGCAAGTTTCCTTCACTTACAAGAAAAAATAACAGCAATTCTTGTCTTGGCAAATACAGGAAATTGGCAATGAATTTCTCCTGTTTGTTTAAAGTAGAATTAACATGTGGGAATAATAAACAGTACATTCTAGTAGTTATCATATGAGAAAAATATAATATCTTGGGCAATTTTTTGTTTAATTTATTTTAACAGACCAGGAGCTATTGTGGATACAAAACAAAGCAAAATCATATATATATATTTATCCTGTGTTTGTGGAGAGAACAGTTTTGCTTTTGGCAAATATGTGTCTTTTTTCATTCCATTTTTTTAATGTATAGACTTCTTTTGTGTGAGTGTGTGAGAGAAAAAAATTACTTCCCAAAATGAGTAAAATTCCTTTCACGTAAATGGTTAGCTAACATTAAATGTCTGGTAAGTTTTGTTACAAAAGTCATCAAAGTGAACAACTAAAACTGGAAGTTAACATTAACAAATAACCAATTTATTTCCTTCTCAGTTCATATAGATATCTACTGCTAAGAATATTTCTGTAATTAAGCACTGAAAATTAGATGTGACACTTGATTTTATATCCATTCTGGTCTGAATTTATCTGACTGCACGTCAGCTAGCAAACTGACATATTTTTGCTGATATAGAGATACTACTACCTTGTTTGTAGAGATGAAATATCTTCACAAGTGATATCTTCACAAGCTACAAAGTAGCTCCTTTGTTTACTTCCTTGAATTTTTTTTTAAATCTTTTTTTTTTTTTTTTCCCCCTTCCTAGAATGCCATATAAAAACTAGGAATATGCTATTTGCTACACTAAATTTCCTAGGGAATCTGGATGAGCCACACCTAGTTCACGTCCTATGACAACCATACAGCTGCACAACCTGCCTTTACCCAATTTTCATCTAGCTTATAGTTGCATGTGGCCCTGCTTACACGCTTGTCAGATTTTTTTTATTCTGGACTACGTCAAGGCTATCAAGAATGAAGGCCTAGATGTGCTGAAATGAATGGCAAAACTCTGACAGACATCAATAAGATTGCAATTTCAGTCTAACAGAAACAGAGATCTCTTCATCTATTATTGAGAAGCAGCCCTCTGCACCAAGAGAAGGAGTAAAAAACAAATCTCTTGTCCATGGGTCTTTTTAAAAGGACAAATAAGGAATATTTATCAGCTGACTGTAGGAAGTGTGAAAGTTTTCAGACATTAAGTCTAAGCTGTTCAACTTAAAATGTAATAGCAAATGCACTCAAGAATTGTATTTGATGTCTCATCTCAAGACTGGAATCACAGTGACACAGAGTGAAATAAAAAAAGCTTTAAAGATAATGTAAGGAAGACTGGAAAACAACAAATCTCATGGTAAAATATCCACAGTCCAATTTAACAGTGGGAAAATTGTAGAAAAAAAAAGGCTGATTTTGAGCAGATAGTTCACTTTTATTGTACCAAAATACAATATATAAACTAGCAATAATAATTGCAGGGAAGCACTACTTATTAAAAGTGAGCAGAATCACTGTGACTTTGAAGAGACAGGGTATTTGATAACATGGTTACGGTTACAACATTGTTCCACAGTTTAGTGAGCCAACATGCTGCAAACAGTGCATTCTTGTATATTACAGATAATCTATGCACTTACTTTCTCATAATACTTGATTTCATATTCAGTAATGACTCCATTGGGATGTTCTGGTTCCTGCCAGGAAAGCTCCACGCTCCTCTGCAGCACTCTCTCTTTCATTACTCCACTGACTTGTGAGGGAGCTGTTTGGACAAGATGCGTCAATAAATAATAAGGAAATTTGTTGGATGCCTAAAATCACATGTCATTACTGACCCACCCCATGCTGAGCCACTTTTATTAAGGTAAAAGAAAGCACCTTTTCATAGCTCACAATTCAAAGCTAATGAATATTCAAGCACTATCCTACTACTGTTCATAAACTTAGAATGGAAATCAAATTAAAGCGCGAATAGCAAAAAAGTGGCATTGTTGAAGTTAGTGTAAAACTGAAATTGATGAGATAGAAATAATAATTAGGTAAATGAATTCTAATTAAGACGATAGATTTTTAGATTGATTTATGGTAAGAATCTAAGTATTTATTGCATTTGTTTCAACAGTACTTATAAAAAGAAAAATAATCAGTTAGAAACAAAACTACATATTTTAGGCTGACTTCATGTAGTTGATACTAATGCTGTTTAACAAATAATCTGCCAAACTATCTGTTTACAGCATGATTTAGGGGTGAAAACAACTTTGTTAAGAGACTGTTGCATTTGTTCAAAATTTCCCAGAACATTCTCTCTTTAAAGCTGAAGTTTCCATCTTTGATTCTGGTATTTAATGAAAGTCTGAGGCAATTTAAGAAGCAGATCTTATGAAATAAAGGGTCACTGTATTCATCTTCCTCACTGCACACAGTCACACACACACACACACAGAGTTTCCTAATAAACAACATTCACAATCAGGTGTCATTTGAAATTTCTGAAAAGCAATCTACAACCATTATACGGCTATTGAATCTAATTTAAAAATGGTTATTAACTAGTAAAATACGAGTGACTGAAAAAGTAACTTTCTTGATCAGCTTATCTCCTACTTAATAAAAAAGAAAGGTTGTGGAGTTACTGCTGATGGGTACTTCCAAAAAATCCTAGCATCATACTTTTCCACAAACATACATGGTGCATACAAGAATGCGTGCACAGAAGTCCTGTAAAATCATAGCTTTCTAAAAAACAACCATAGCACTATAACTATGTAGAATTTGGCCTTGTTCAATTTATTTGAAATAATTAAATTAAAGGGTGTAGCACTGATCACATAAAAGAGGGATAAAGAGAGAAGCTGATTCTACTCTCCTTTATTTAAAAACAAAGTGACAATCACATTTATAGGAAACTGATCATATTTGGAGAGTAGTTTCAGAAGACAGGAAAGTAAGCAAAAATAAGATATACATTTATTTATGTATCCTTCAGGTATTGAATCTATAATTTTTAACAAACATAAGGAAAATTTATTTTTTTTTTTCTTTTTCCTATGGGAAAAAACAGGAATAACTTTATTTCAGAACTGTATACAATGCTTTCACTATGTAAAATTATTACCATTGATTTCAAACAGATACAAATTCTGTTACAGAACAAGGATACTTTGTTCAACAAGTAGGCAAACTACATTTTTTCTTTTACAATTCATCTCAAAATCTAATTCCAATAATTCCCATTAAAATATTCTTTAGTATCCTCATTTTGCTTAATTTAAAGAACACAGGAAGAAAATATCAAGAATACACAGTCCTGTAGCATTAAGAACAAAAAGTAAGAATCTTTAATGCACAACTAATATGATAATTCTCTAGGAAACTTAAAATTTGATTTCTAGTTTCATATTTTAATTCTGTTTCTAGCTCTTTTTACTGTAACAAGCATAGTCACAGAGGTTTTAAAACTAAATTTATTTACATTTCACTAGAGGCTCCAAGAGTCCATAAAAATTAAGAATAGAAGCCATGCATGATAATTTCCATTATAAACTATTATGTCATGTATTCAATATAATCAAAGTTGAAGACCTCTTAATGTAGGCTGCCAAACTAATAAAATCGTAAAATTGTGTCATGCAAACACCATGGGCTGATAAAGCTTTCCAGAGTCAGGATCTATCACTTCTTGCATACTCTTTCTAAAAGCTTAGAGTATTTTCACCCTCTAATTAGAGTACATATATTCTTTTTGTAGCTAAGAGAATGGAATGTGGAATGCAGAAAACTTATTTACTCTGTCATCTGATTTTCTGTACAGTATATAACTAGCTGTCTTCTTTGTCTCAGTAAGTAGCACAACAGTTCAGCTGAATTTCAAGAGAGGTCATTATATTTCATGTATAATGTTGTATCTCATACAGATAAATGTTTTCAGACTGTTGATTTTACATTTTTGGATGCCCAAAATTGTTAATGTTCATACTTCTAATGAAACAACTTTATATTACCTATGTCACTGGAAATAGTTCCCAACATTCATTGCTTTTTGTTTTAGCTTATTTTTTCATTCCAATGGTCAGAGCATTTATTTTTTCTAAGCATTCAAGTAAAATGAACTCACTTCCTCTAGCATTAGTTAATTTTGGAGATGTGGGGAGGGAACAGCAATGTGAGGAAGGAGAAACAGAGAAGAGGAAAGATGTTGATAGGGGAAGGGAAATATATTATACAAGATTCCCACTTAACATCTGAACAAAGCATATCGCAGTCATATTCCATTCTTAAGGGATTTACATGCAAAAGAAAATCTCAGTGAATTATTAGCCATGCAAGCCAGCATGCAAAGTCTTAAATAAATGAGCTATATTTCCTGATTATTAATATTCTTTTCATTCAAGCAAGATCAGAAAAGTTTTTTGTTTGTTCCTTTTTTTTTTTTTTTTTTTTTTTTAAGCCAAAAATATTCTGCTATATTTCAGCAGTAAAAGAATCTATAAAAAAGCAGAAGAGAGAACCCAGCCTTGCAGGCTGAATATGCTGGCAATTTTGACCTTGAGTCTATAAGTTTGTGAGGCTCTGAAAATAATAATATTGTATATAAGACCTATATTCAAGATATCCCTAAAATGTAGTATGTTATCTGAACTTATTTGGTTTCCTACTTTGAGCCTCAACAGTTGCTGAGGGAAGGCAAGGTACACCAGCCTATTGCTACTGGAAGTAAACCTTAGTGACCCATAGCAAGCATATAAGCCAATTAATTAATGGTACAGGCTAGACATAGATGCTGCCTTTCTCCTGTCTTTTTTGTTACATTTCTTAATGAGTGCTTAATGAGAGTGTATAGGTCAGAAGCACTTTGTTCTTTATTCTAATATAATCATTTCTACTGAATCTCTAACAGAGTTGTTCACGATGAAGATACAACTAAATACACAGTCCAGAGTAACTTGAATGTGCACAATCCCTAATGTACCTTTTCAGGTTATGAAGAAGCATCACTTGTCTTGATCATTATTTCCACAATATATTACACCTGGGGATACAGGCTGTTTAAAACATCATCTGCTATCAACTTTCTTTCTGATATACTTCATCTCCTCTTTTTCTCCTTCCTGCTGACACAACATCCAATGCATCAAACACACACAGCCTCTCAGGGCTAATAGTAGATGTACCTACACATGCTGCATAATGAAGTACTTTATGAATGACAGGCCCTCAGCACACTCATTCACCTTCTCTAAATGCTTCAAATATACCATTCAGCAAAAGGAAAAATTGATTTTTCACCAGGTTTCAACATCACAGCCACAGAGAAATATAACTCTGCTGGGCTTTACTGATAAAGCCTTCAAGTTATATAGATTTCAAGCTCATCATCATTTCCAGATCAAGTTATTGAAAAAGTTAAAACGGAGGTGTCAAAAAGAGCAGGATATTCCAAGAAAATAGTGTGTTCTAGAGAGAATTTTGCATCCAGTAGACTGATGTGTTATATTCATACTGCTAAGCCAAGCATATGGTATATTATTAATATCTGCAAATATTCATGTGTAGAAAACTGCAGTGATTGTTTTGGAAGACATTGCTTTTAGCCCAGAGTTCTGCAACAATATTAAATCATAATATTGCTCATGCTTTAGCTCTATTCTTAGCTATTCTCTGCTTCTCATGCTTGATGTTTCCTTTATCTGCAGTATACTTTCCAAAATACACACACAGATACAAAATTAAGTCTTTTGCACTTTGGATAATATATATATATATATATATATATACATATATAAAGTATAAAATGCTAAAACAAAATGCAAACTGAAAAATGAAAACACATGAAGCTGGACTTTCACACATAAGAAAAGTTAGGTATTATGTGCCAATTTCTAGCACAAAATCAGCCCTAACACTGTTTTCAAGAAAAAAGAGTAGTCAGCAAAAGAAACCTATGCAGCTATTTCTCTGAGCTTTCTGCAGTTCTGCATCATGAATGTGTCTCAATTTCATCTGGCAGCATCAGTCATGGAAACTTTTCATCTCGTACCTTTTTTAAGCTCTCTATAGAAATAGCATTTCTGAGTGGTTAGTAGCTCATGTCTATAAAACAAACTATTTACTACTCCCCAGGAATACAGGTTTAAATTCTGCAGTCTTACATTATGCACAAAGTCTCCCAAAAGAAGGTGAGGAAACACTCCCAGTGCAGAACAAGAGCGCAGGTTAATAAATGCAACCAATCCTAAATTTGCATCTCCAGTTTCCTGATTTGCTAGAGAACGAATGAATGAGCTACCAACCTTCCCTTTATCTTTCTTTAGTCTGTAATAGCAGTCATGTACTTACAACAACCTAATCTTCATCTGGTACTTTCTGAAATCAACAGTAGCACTCACACACTCTCATAGCACAGGACCCTTGCAGCAGCATTCCCAAAGGATTAAAACTCTTGGCTCTTGGCCTCTTCCGTTTTCAGATCTGGAAGAGGTGTGGCAATTATTTAAAAGCACTAGCTTTTCACACAGTAACAAAAATATCAAATTAATTATCCCTGTAAAACTTTATCAAGGTACACTTTACATTCCATGAAGCGTTAATACCGGTCTCCTGCAACGGCTTTCTGCAGCAACTGAGTGAGTGCTTTGATTGTGTTGACTGAAGAGGTCTTTGCTAAGAGAAGCAGATCATGGAAAGTCAGCCATATCAGCATCCTAAATGTTATAACATAATCTACTACTTCTTTGTATAATGTCATATTGTATCATATTG